GATTTGAGAACGTATCATGGGGTCCGTTACATGCTCTGGAGGCGAAGAGCTCGTTGTTCCCCATGCGACCAGAGACTTCAGGACAGCCACCAAACACTCCAGCCCCTGTCTGCGTAGCTGCGCCTCTGAATTACCGATAGTCGACACGTCGACCGTGCCTGGCACGGAGAGGGAGGCTGTGCTGAACGAAGGCGGCACCGAGCCAGACCCATGATGCTGCTTGGTCTGCGGCTGCAGGGCAGGGCTGTTCGGGTCATTGCCCTTGGGAGGAACGGCTGAGATTGGGGCGGTCCCGATCTTCGAGATGATGTTCATGAAGCTGCAGGCCTTATAAGCATATAGTTAATCGCACTTTTGACGCGTACTTACTGCTCATAGATGTTGTCAGCAGCCTCACTATCGCAATCATAGTTGAGGTAGATCTCCACCAGGGCTTGAGGATCTTGTGACAGTCGATGGAGCATACTGAGAATCACGGCCTTCTGCTTCAAGGTCGAGGTCTTCATCTCCAATATGGGGATGAAAATCTCATGGAGCAGTACTTCGATCTCTTTCTGTGTACATCTATGAGTAAGCATGATAGGCGATGTGGGAGTGCATGGAGATCGCTATGTACCTTCAGCTTGGTGCGAAGACCAGAGATAACCCTCCAGAAGATCTCAACGCTGATTTCGAAGACCTGAGGAACAGGGCTGACGGCGTTCCTACTCAAACATAAGCAGAGATACTGGTTGGCAGCCTGGATAAACGGTGTAGCCTCGTTTGTTGACGAAGAGTAGATAATCGCAGAGGGGGACACGAAAATGGGCATGTGCGAGTCCAAGATCATCAAGACCAGGTGCAGAGATAGGAGTTTGGACCGCATTGCGTGGGACTTCAGGTCGCGCTCGCTATAAGCTTAGTGAGTATACCATACGTCGGTACGCAAGTGGTGCGGCTAACCTCTCACTGTTCAGAGGCTTCATTGTCAACTTGCACAGGGCTCGGAATACGAGGAACGCGTCTTTGATGAACAAGTCATTCGTCGACAATTGTCGATGGTGAGCACCTTGATAGTCTGGTTCCTCGTCATGCATAGCATCGCTCGTAGCAGACTCTGAAGGTCGCCGTCTGTGAAATCGGTTAGGGGAAGCAGTCTCTCAAATACCAAGAACTCACGCTGAATGGTTTGACCCGATAGTCTCTGACACCGGAGGTTCACTCTCTACGTCCCCGTTAGCCTTCTCATCGGCCGTAGCCACAGATGGTGCGCCGGACGGTTCTTCCGGCGGGTCCTGGACAAGAGTAGATGATGTCTCCTCCGCCTCGCTAATTGAGGCCACTGAGGGAGTCAATGGGGGTAGCGGGTAAGAGTTACGTGGAGACATGACCATGGAAGGCCGCTTGGGAGACTTCACGCTGTCTCCATCCCGAATAGAAAGCGTGGTCGTCGATTCGCTCTGCGACAAGGATGGTGTGCCGAGCTTGCAGCGAGCAAAGACGTGGTTGACCATCTGAGTGAGGCCCCCCTGAGCTACCATCTGGTTCACAGGGTCTACGCTCAAGAGAAAAATGTTGTAAACGGTACGGACAGCCTTCAGAAGAGACGACTGGTGAACCAGCACGGTCGGCGAGAGAACTAGTGCGAGCAGAGCCTTTACAATCTGGAGGGAGACGGTCTCGGGAGTGCTCTCGTTGTGACAGGAAGTGATAGTATGGACGACAAGGTCAACAAGAGAGGGCGCAGGGAGAGAAGAGTGAGAATCATTGAAATTTGATTGTGCAGGACGAGAATTGGGGCCAGGCGAAGGGGGCGGAGACGACGGTGCCTGCGGCGTAGACGAGGTGTCGGCGAAGAACGAGTAAGAGATGAGCTTTGAGATGCAGTCCAGGCTGGCTATCATTAGCTTCTCGTTGCGCGTCTCGCAAGCCAGGCGCAGCGGTTCGAATATCTCTCTCTGCCGATCGCCGCCTTGGCCTGACTTAACCATATCCAAGGCGCGCTGCACGCTATCCTTTAAAGGGGCCGAACGCTTAGCTTCCTTGGACGCAGCAATAGTCTCTAGCGCGGATGAGATGAGGACTACAGAGACAGTGTTCCCCTTCGAGAGTGTGAGCGAGCGTTTGTGGGAGTCCGTAGAAGGTCTTGCGGCACGTCGGCTAGACGGCGTAGATGGCCTGCTTTCCACAGAAGGATGAGGATGCCCATTGGTGATACGAGGAGACGAGGGCAAGACGCTCTCGCGACGCGCAGCAGGGGAGGCGGGGTTGGACGGGATTGGTTTCGCGGGCGGCGTCGGGGGCGGCGCAGAGTCATCAGTGTCTGGAAGGGTTCGTGCAACTTCTTGAGGGGTGCCCGCAAGAGCGTCGGGTAGAGAGGGGGCCTGCTCTGCAGGTGGCACAGGTAGACCGTTCGATGCAGACGTGGGAGGTTCGGGGGCAGACTCGGATTGGGTCAGTGTGTCTGGTTGTGTCTGAGACTCACCCTCGACCGGCTCGCCCTCAATAGAGGCTTGAGGCATTATGCGCTCACCGTCTGCCGACCTAGCGCGGTTCTCGTCCACGGGATCCCTCATAACTGAGAAGTGGGATAAGATGTTAGGCATGGGTTCGTCATGAGGCGGCGGGGACGGAGGAAGGGGGATTGAGGCCTCATGAACAGAGTCTGCGGCGTCCATGGCGGCCGTCGTCGTCGTAGGCGGCGTCCAGGTCGTTGTCGGCGATGACGCGAGCTTGATGAGCGTTATAGAGTGCTTGACGAAGTCGCGGTGGAAAGAGGGCGGTGTGTGTTGCCTCATCACGAGACGCGTCGCCAATTCTGGTAGCTGCGACACCGCAAGATCGCGATCGGGCCCTGGAGTTTGATCTTTCTGCTATACCGCGCCCGGATCCCTTCCGGTTCTGCAGTCTTGCCTGTACTCCGTACCTGCTTTCTCCCTGTACACTACAAAACACAACATGGCGCCGACTACTGCCATACCTTCCGGTGCATCTGCTGCCGTTCTCAAGCCTTCGGAGCCTATGCCGGACTTTGCGGTCTCCGTAGAAGGACCCAACTTTGAGGAGGAAATCTCACTTCAAAAGCTTCTCGAGAGTTACAAGAGGATCGGCTTCCAGGCAAACAGCCTTGGAAAGGCGATTGAGATAGTAAATAAGATGGTCCGTGTCGATCCCTCCTATGCCGTCTACTCAATACTCACCTGAGCTGCAGCGCAAGTGGCGACTGTCGGACGAGCCAGTCGCGGAAGACGAGTCTGAGGAGTACTTGTCGCAGGAAGTACGGGAAAATACCAAATGCAACGTCTTCCTTGGCTATACCTCAAATCTCATCTCGTCCGGGCTTCGCGAGATCATCCTGTACCTCGTAAAGCACAAGCATGTCAGCGCGATCGTGACCACAGCCGGCGGGATCGAGGAAGACTTTATCAAATGCCTCGGAAAGACGTATCTTGCAGACTTCAACCTGGACGGTGCCGACCTGAGGAGGAGAGGCATGAATCGTATAGGCAACCTCATCGTTCCGAACGACAATTACTGCAAGTTCGAAGACTGGTTGACACCTATCCTGGACGCCATGCTTGCCGAGCAGAAGGAGACTGGCCAAGTGTGGACGCCGAGCTCCTTCATCCGCAGACTCGGGAAGGAGATCAACCACGAGGAATCTGTATACTACTGGGCGTACAAAGTGAATCTATCTCATCCCGATCTTTGTAATTCATACTGAACACGCTCTTGCCAGAACGATATTCCCGTCTTCTGCCCCGCGCTTACTGATGGATCGTTGGGAGACATGATATACTTCCACTCATTCAAGAACCCCGGTCTCGTCGTGGACATTGTTCAGGATATTCGCAACCTGAACGAGCTTTCGCGAAAATCGAAGAAAGCCGGCATGATCATCCTCGGCGGCGGGGTGTGCAAACACCAAATAGCTAACGCTATGCTCATCGTATGCACCTCACCCTTCTCCGGCATGACGAGATGATACTCATACCTTTACAAAGCGTAATGGCGCCGACTATTCTGTATACATTGTGAGTGTCGCTGCCAACGACTTGACGTATAAGACTAATCCGTTTTTCAGAACACCGGACAAGAATTCGACGGTTCCGACTCTGGAGCCCGTCCCGACGAGGCTGTATCATGGGGGAAAATCCGAGCTGGCTCGGAGTCGGTAAAGGTCCGTAATACGATCATGCCATCCAAGATTTGAGGTCTGTCGCTGACCATTCACATAGGTCTTCGCGGATGCAACGCTTGTATTCCCCTTGTTGGTGGCTGCAACGTTCGCTCAGCCCGGTCCTCGCGCATAGAACGTTAGACATCACGGCGCATTCTGTAGCATACGGACCATCACTGCTGTATCACATCAATAACGTTGCCTTTCACTTACTAAACTGTATCTCTTCCGGCTATCGAGACCCATGATATCACGCAGCGTGCTTGAAGATTCTCGGATGTGGGACGTCCTTCCTTCCGTTGCTCATACGCTCAATCTCAATAGTTATTGCAGTGTTGATGCTACCACAGGGTGACCGCCCATGTTGCAGTAGGTACTTGCTAGTAGACCGGAAACAGCCATTAACACTATAGGGCAGGAACTTTAAGCGGCACTGTGTAGCGGCTCCCAGGCCGTTCTGCCGCTGCGCTTAGCGCCGGAGGGGCCAGCGCTTGCCGCCCGCGGCCAGTCCGCGGCCCTGTACTATTGGGCGTCTATGTTGAGAGGCGCCCATGGTACTTCGTTCTAAATCAAGCGCCCAACTATACTGGCATTGTGGGATACATACACCCGCCGGAAAGTCGAGGCCTGTATGGGTTCTCCTGCATCCACATATTTTGCATGTACTAGAGCAAAGTAATAGATATGGGTCGCCTATGCAAGCCGTGGAAGACGGCAAAAGGGAGATAAACGCGTGTACAAGGCCATACCAACCCAAGGACGGAACCTGGGCGGAACGGCGGCTTCTTCGGCCACAAAAAATCGGGAGAAATGGAAACAAACCACCAAAAACATATTCTAATGACCACCGCAGGGGTCGAACCTGCGATCTCCTGATGTCACGAAGTCCTAGGGACAAGGTCGTAGTCAGACGCGATGCCATTTCGCCAGGCGGCCATGGTATATCACCCGCGTTAATGGTCATCAACAGTACGGAAAGCGGTAGAATTTGCGACGATGAGAGGTAATAGCGTGTTGGAGGAAGTAGTAACATGCGAAGTAGTGCCGGGATAACAACATGGAAGCAAGGGCAGAGAATTTCCGCACAGACAGACCCCTGCCTCAGTCTAGCGCCCAACGAAAGTGTCAGCATGCCGTACAGTCCTCACAGAAGCTGACAAGTACCTCGAGCGATCTCACTGTGCCATAGGATAAGGTCATCCCTCATGAGCTGAAGGATCATGAGAGAGTCCTCCAGGTTTGCGGCCATCGATGGCGACTCCGAAGCCGCGCTCACCGCCTCGTCAAACGCATGCTTTGCCAGATGACACGCCCGTTCTGGACTCCTCAGGATATCGTGGTAGTACACCGCAAAGTTGAGAGCCAGGCCAAGACGCGTTGGGTGTGTCGGAGGGAGAGTCACTAGTGCATGCTTATAGGCGAACTTGTAGGCGTCAAGGGAGGTCTTCGCGAGCTCCTCCTTGGAGTTTAAGCGCGTTAGCTCGGCCAGATATCGGTAGTAATCTCCTCGCCTGTGTGAACTCGTCAGCATATTATGAGGAGACGTCGGGTGCCACCTACATCTTTGAGTAGAACACCTTCTCTTCCCCGTCGTTCGCTGCGGGCATCAAGGTATTCTCAAGCAGATCAACGACATCCCTACACAGCGCATCGATGTCCTTCTCGATGAATTCCTTCTGCAAGCGCATTAGCTTCACCTGCTGTCGGCTTGATGAGAGCGCTTCCTTCTTCTGCAGGTTGTCGATTGTGCGCCAACTCGAGCGAAGAGTAGCGGTCAAATTCTTGTATGCTATGGATAGAAGGTTGCGTTCGTCGATGGTGAGTTGTGCGCCGTGGGTATTGATAATGTCCTTCAGCTGGGCAATCACATCTGTGGTATAGCCAGAATCGTTGTAAGGTCGCTGTCTAGTTGGTATATGGGAGAGAGGGCCGCGCACCTTGGTATCTCTCCGCTTGGTCTGCTACCTTCGCAAGGTAGAGGCGGTCAAGCCGCGAGATGGTCACGTTGATCTTTAGTTATACGAGTTGTAAGCACTTGTTCAAGAACCTCGGCATGCGCGAGTTCAGCGTACCGAAGACATATGGGCGTAAACGGAAGCAACGGAGCTGACGCTCGCGCTAGAACTGAACACGGTTCACGGAGTTAGTATGCCACGCCGTTGCCTGATGGTCCGGCTTATAACAGTAGTTGCCCACACAGGGCAGAGGGTAGATGACCTGCATGCCGCTCAGGCATGCCTCCACGTAAGGCGGCGATGACGCTATGGGCTCATGCCCCTGCACGCGAATGTGGTTCCGCGATCATCCTGGCCCTGAAGAGCTATGCGTTTGTGAGCCTCTCAAACAATCGAGAATGTTTAGGGCCTCACTATAGCAGCTGCTGTGCAGTGATATGACCGTTGCGCGGCCAAGCACGGCCCGTGGCAACGATGAGTGTACCGAACCGGTCCTGATCATGACCGTGACCATCTTACGGGTGGAAACGGCATCTTCGCTGTGTACAGGCAATGGCCGGATGAGCACTGGTCACTGGCAGCTGCCAGCAGCATCTGATATGCTGCCACGGTATCCTCGTATTCGGAGCATCCAGTACAGTGCTAGTCACAAAAGCCTGGAAGCTGATCGTGATGAATCGCAACTTGCAAGAACTACCTAGTGCTTACTACTAATCGCCGTCAACTTAAAGACGTTGGCACCAATAAGCCATGGACCCATAACTCTGATGTGTATATGTACTGTTGACACCCTCCTTATCTGCCACCTGGCTTATCGGTAGCTGCGTCTAACCCGCGGGGATGGAGTCCGTCGATTCGATTCTTGCGGAAATCATAAACGCCAACTTCTGTTTTGCTACACTAACCCCTGGAGTTGCGCCAAGTTCCAACATCATCGATCATCACTGAGTACTGAGCCGTCAACGACCGACATTAAACAGAACTACTGGCCGCTTGTGGGAAGATACTGTTCGAGATATCATCTATCCTAGGCTAGTACTTGTGCCAAATGGTGGAATGAGAGATGGGCCCCCCAGACGGTACGCGCCATGTATATGATCATTCAAGTAGCCATTACTTGGCCGGCTCATGTCATCCACTATACGGGATGCTATGCTCGGGACGGCGATGATGCATATAAGCTGTGAGATTGATGTAGAACACATTGATACAGGTATTACGCCGGAAACCCGATTCACCCAGACCAGACGGGACCACCAGGACTGTGCGAGTGTCGTCAGCAACGCAGCCCGGGACGCATACAACCGGAAGTGAACGACGTACGCAGTGTAACTCTGGAGGTTGTTGTAGATGTTGATCGTGATGCCGGGGTCGGTGGGCTTGTACGCACCCGGAAGAGCAATCTTCGGGGGGTTGGCGCTGCCTCCGCCAGTGATCTTGACCTGGGCGCAGCCTGAACAGATACATTAGCTCCCTCAACAATACTCTTGTGCAGTACCATATCCCCTTACCAACGTACTAAATTGCAATATCGTACACCGTCAGCCAATGAAGTCAGGAAAATGCAAATGATACATACAAATTGGGCGCCAGGGTACGACATGGCGACGTGAAGGGCGATCTACGATGGATGAGACGTCAATATAATGTTAAATTATGCTCCACGGAGATGGAATACTCACAATCTCAGCACGAAGAAGGTATTCGCCCGCGGGGAGGGAGGAGGGGATGACAACGCTGTGCTTGCCTGCCGATATGTCCATGAGCTATGTCGAGGCTATCAAATGAACACGGTCGCATACCGTTGTTAGCGTTGACAACATCGGTGGCCCACTCTTGCGACTGCGCGTTAATCAGCCCGGACGAGTAGATCTTGGTCCACACTGTGCCCTGGCCATTAAAGGAGGCGGCGGTGGAAGGCGCCTTGGCGATGTAGACCTGGACGGGGCCCTTGTGGCCGGCAGAGATGGCGTCCTCGCCAGTGCGCTGGTCGTGTTGGTGCCACTCAAAGGTGATCTGGAGTGACAAACGAGTTTAGCTGTGCACCTATCATTGCGGTGAAGGAGTGAAACTTACGTTCGAGCCTGCGGGGATGGAGACAGTGGAGACACCCGCGCCCGAGAGGCCGTTGACATTGCAAGTCAAGTCAGTAGAGGTGACGTCGGTGACGGGGTTGTTGCTCGGCGGGACACGAATGTCCACGTTGTGACCCTGGTCAGCCTAAAGAACGTCTGTATGTCAGCAACTCGGACGTCACATTCGAATGCATAGCCAACCACTCACCCCGTTGACCCAGATGTATTGCATGGTGACTGAGAACGAACGCGGTCAAATCACGCGGCCACAAAGTCAAACTCAAGGCATGCTTACAGTGCGCATTGGCGATGGCGACCGCCGCGAGGGTGGAGAGGAGAGCGAGCTTCATGTTTGCGAGACGCGGCGAGCTGAGGATCGCCAAGACTCACATTCGCATTTATACCCCAGCAGGGTCGTAAAACGTTCTACGCCGGGTCGCGCGACCGAGGACTTCCGGCTTGGCATGCAGTGTCGGCTGAGAAGGCACTGGGCCGTCTTCGAGGACCTTTCGGCGATTTACGCTTGCGTGACCGATGGGTCGAGCATCGTAGCGTCGTGCCGCGATGGACAAGCCGTCATCCAGGAGTGCAGACCTCGGTCACGATGGAGCGTACACTTCCGAAATTGAGGCGGTGTATCAAGAGAGGAAATAATTCGGAAGTTCGCAATGCATGCCTGCGGCTAAAATCTTTGATGACGAGTCTGTCTCGCGGATCACGGTGCTTCTACTGACCAGTCAGTGAGACGGCCAGCGTTCGAAAAAGTATACTGCCCTAGGATCGATAGGACCCCGCGCAGTCAAACTCGGGGCTCGATTTGAGGACATGTATCTCCTGCATTTGGAGCATAGGGCCCCGGCACTGGAATGTTGGGTGAATCGTCGCCATTGCGAGAGACTTACAGCATGCGACATCGACAGTCTTGGGTTTTATCTATTCACCTTGTTGGACGTCTCGTAGTTACACCGTCATCTTGGGCGCCCGAGCCGGGCCAGCTTCTTCGGCAAAACTCCGAGGCATATCTGCAAAAATAGCTCATCCTGGATACAGTACCGAGGCTGACCATGGGTGTCACGACCCGGGATGAATGGATGGCATGTGATGACAACATAAGAAGGCTTGGCACTTCGACCCTAGTGAGCTTGTCAGCCAGGTTCCTGTACATTCAATCCGTGCGAGCTCGTGAAGCACGGCTCATGTCAGCGATTCCACGGTCCTTCGTAGACAGTACGTTCGTCATCCAGTGGATTGTCATAGGCGAACACGCGATCTTCAAGCTGCATATTCTTCCTAGTCGTACAAACCTCCTAAGGACTATCCATCGGCGGCGACATCCGCTCACCAACCCAATTGCTCGTAGGTCCAGCCCCAGACCTTACCGTACTTGTTCGCATAATTGCATAGACGCTGGTTGCGATCGAGGCCGGTGATTCGTTTGACATCCTCAGGGTCCAAGTCGAGCAGCTAGGAGAAGTATCTAGTTAACGAATATGCCAGTCGATGCCTTGCTATAATCCTCACAGTGATATTGTCTTTCTGCCTTTGCTCGTTTGAGCTCTTGGGGACGGCGGATACGCCTCGAGCGACATGCCAGCTCAAGACGACTTGAGCGGGGCTAGCCTTGTACTTCTCTGCAAGCTCCGTGATAGTGGGGTCCGTGAGCACGTTCTTGTAACCTAGTACGTGACTGAAGTCAGCATGTAAGACTTCATAGGAGAGAAAGGCAAGGCCTGCCTACCGGTGGGCGAATAAGCGGTCAGCACAATGCCCTTCTTGTCGCAATACTCTTTCAATTCTGGCTGCGCGAGGTACGGATGCATTCTAGCGTGAAGAAGGTCAGAAGCGCGCATAGTGTTCAGGGGTCATGTGCACTCACTCGACCTGATTCACTGCAGGGACTACCTTG